AAAAAAAAAAAAAAAATTTATTTTAAAAAACAAACCAGGCTATTAATGCTTTGATCTTCTTTAAAGTCATTTTTAAGCTAATTGTCAGAATGGTGGTTGTAAGTAGGTATGGCTGTGTATGTACAGCTGAACCCTTTAGAAATATTAAATCTTACTGTGACATTTTTTACTCCAAAGGTGGGGTAATGTCTAGATAATGTTTTAACAGTCACTATGGGCCAGGTGCAGTTTTAATGTGATGGTCGTGACCCATGTGTTCATGAATTTGGTCGTAGTTCTTCACCTTTCTAAGGTTACATGCCACATCTGCTGAGTTTAAAATGTATAAAGATTATTCTATGATTTTTTCACTGAAACAAAAAGTTCTTAATACAGAAAGGCATGGAATTGAGAGCAGAGCATGATTTCAATATTAGTGAAGACATGTTTACTCTTGGAGTAATGATTACAATTCTGTATTTTCTTGGGGAAAAATCACCAAACTGTGAAAGGATTGCGTACCACATAGCAAGTAGTGTAACTGAAGACAGGAGAGATGGCCTCTTGGGGAGATTTTGAAGCAATACAAGGCTGGTGTGACTTATTTATGCACGTTGTACTGTGGTTAAGACATTGGGTCATCATGTAGTCCTCGACATTTTTTTTTTCTTTTTTGTGACTGGTAAGGGGATCGCAACCCTTGGCTTGGTGTCGCCCGCACCGTGCTCAGCCAGTGAGCGCACCAGCCATCCCTATATAGGACCTGAACCCGTGGCGGCAGCGCAGCTGTGCTCCCAGCGCCGCACTCTCCTGAGTGAGCCACGGGGTCGGCCCCTCAACATTTCTTAGTGTCTGTAAAACAGAGCTGTGTCTTATTAGTGAAGTAATAGATTTGTTGAAATATGGTTTAAAAAAACTAAGAGCTCCCCCACCCACAAAACTTTTCTTCCCCCATCTCATGTCATTGTCAGCCTTGACACATTCCTTTCCCTCTCCCCTCACCCCTCAACTCCATTCAGCTCCATCTCCAGCACATGTCTAGAATCAGAGCACTTCTTTCCCTCGACTCACCACAGCCTGCCCCCACACTGTCATCTCAGGGCTTAGTTGGCAGAGGTTTGACTTTCTTATTGGGATATAAAGTAAAGTCGAGTCTTGATGGTGTCTTAGATGTGGTGAAATATGCTATTTATTTATTTTTCCTGATTTCAATAGTATTACATGTTTGTAGTAGAAACTTTAGAAAATACAGGAGTTAAAAGTCACTAGGGATTGCACTATCCACAGATAATCACCACTGGTTTTTTTGGTTATACCCCTGCAGTATTTCATGCTGATAAGTGTGTAACCATACATACACTCAAACAGAGGTGCATATGCACACTTCTGTGACCTGTTTTTTTTCATTTGACAGATTAATGTCTTCACATGACATTAAATTTTCGTCTGTGGCACAATTTTATGGTTGTTTTGTTTAGTGTTTGTGTTTTTTTTTTTTAAGGGCAATATGTGATGTTCTTTCTGGGCCTGAGGGTTTTTGACGGGCTATGTCCAACATGCTTAGCCCTATATCCACAGATCAGGGCCCAAATGGTGCTCTATATGTATTTTTTTTTCCTTTTGGTAAGAGCTTTATTGAGATATAATTCACATAACATATGCTTTTAATGCCTACTTAAAGGGTACAAATCAGTGGCTTTAAAAATATTATTAGAGTTGCATAATCATTGCCACAATCAATTTTAGAACACTTTTTATTATCCCGAAAAGAAACTTTGTACCAAATAGCAGTCACTCCTCATGTCTACACAAGTACTCCAGTTCTAGGCAATCAGAAGTCTACTTTTTGTCTCTATGGATTTGCCTATTCTGGACATTTCATATAAATGGAATCATGCAATATGTGGTCTTTTGTGACTGGTTTTCTTTACTTAGTATAATTTTTTAAAGGTTTATCCATGTTATATCCTGAATTAGTACTTCATTCCTTTTTTATGGCTGAATAATATTCCAGTGTATGGATATACCACATTTTGTTTATCCATTGTCCAGTTAATAGACATTTAGATTGTTTCTACTTTTTGGCTATCACAAATATGCTGCTGGAGATTCCAGTCAAAATGGCAGAATAGACAGTTCCCAGCATCATTCTCTCCCACAAATCAACCAGCTTACAACTATAAAATGTAACAACAGTCAAGCTGGGGCCACTGGAACTCAGGGGAGGAGGACGAGAGACCTATGGAGTTCATGAAGGCGGGAGAAACCATGATGAGAGAAAGAAAAAACTGCTTGGAGGGTTTTGGGCTGCGGCTGCTTTAAGGCTGGAACTACTGAGTGCATGGAGCAGAAGCCAGCAGAAGCCATAGCTATGCCCCTCAGATGGAGTTGCTTGGAGGTGCAGGGGAGAAGAGGGCCTTGGTGGCCCCCAGGACAGCAAGACCACTAATAGGATTTCCATGGACCCACACAGGAGGGAGGAGCCAGAACTGCTGAAAAAGGGGAGCCATTCACAGGCTGGTGAGTCATCACAAGGGACTGGCTCAGGGCCTGTCCCATGGGAAGTGTTTGGAGCATGGACAGTGGGGGAGATGGGCTCACTGGGAGAACACTGGGACACAGCAAGGACAGCCAACCCACCCCACACTCAGCGCAGGACCACTCAGAGGAGACTGGTCAGGAATGCAGAATTGCATGGGGTGCAGTTTGATGAACAGATTCAGGCCCAGATCAGAGTTTCTACACAACCCAGGTGCACCAGGTCTCTGGAGAGCCGGAAGTACCTATAAGGTCAACCATTAAACCCAGAGCTGCACAAAAAGTCTTCCCCAGGGAAACAGCAACAAGCAGCAATTTAGCTGAAACACAGAGCTCAAGTACTGGTTCCCACAGGAAGTTCCTCCATTTTGGAAGTAAGCAGAGGACAAAAAATTAGTTCTGGCCTAGGCCAAGCTGGTCCTGGACCCCCCACCCACATCTAAGCACAGTGCCAGCACCTCGGGGCCCTGCCCAGGGCATCTAGCCAGGGACTGGGCCCCCCCACCTACAACCAGGCACACTGCCAATGCCTCAGGGCCTGTCTGGGAACCTGGGGCATGGAGCCAAGGACCAGACCCCTCTGACAACTAGGTACACGACCAGTGCCAAGGAGCATGCCAAAACCATCACCTCCATGTGAGTGGCCCACCATAGCCACCACAATAACCACAGCTGCCATGAAAGTGGCTAAACATCACAACCACCACGCAGGTGGTCTGCCAGCCACTGGAGTGCATTGACACAAGGAGAGTCATCAGCAGAGACCAAAGAAAAGAAGAGGATGTCTCTCTCCACAAGGCCCACTCTAAAGTAGCAGAAGAAGCATCTGCTGTATGATGATATATGGGGACCTGAACACACCTTTCAGCATTGGACAGATCATCTAGGCAACAAATCAACAGAGTAACCATTACTCTTTCAGAGGAAGAGAAGAAAGCTAGGGTTATCAGTGATGGTAGGGGGGAGGGAGAGATGGATAGGGAGAGATTGGACAAGGGGCATAAAGAATAAGTATAATTTGTCACAATGTACGTAGTAGTAATATTGATTTGATCAGTATTATGTCAGCATTGAATCCAAGAAACATGTATAATCAATTATGATTCAATAAAAAAAATAAAAGAATAGATATGCTGCTATAAACATTTGTATACAGGCTTTTGTGTGGACATATGTTTTCATTACATTATTTAGTATGTTAGAAGGTAATACATTCTGTAGAAAAGTAGAACAGGATAAAGGGATTGGGATTATTGCAATTTCAAGTAGGGTGGCTAACGCCAAAAAAACCCAAACAAACTCCGAAACGAAATTAGGTTGTAAGGGTAGGCCTCACTGTGAGGGTAACAGTTGAGCATATTTGAACAAGTTAACTGTGTGGATATCTAGAGGAGGAGCATTGTAGGCAGAAGGAATAGCTTATACAAAGGCCCTGGGGCAGGACAGTGACTGATATACTCAATGAACAGCAGGGATGTTGTTGGAGTAGAGATATGACATGATCTGACTTTAAAGCTCCCTCTGGCTCCCATGCGGACAAGAGACTGTAGGGGCAATAGTGGAAACAGGGAGTCTGGTGGGGCAAACCTGAGAGCTGTTGGTTCCACTTTCTGCATCATACCATGGCCTTGTTTGACTGCTCTGTGGTTTTGGGACATTCTTCAGGAACAGTGCTGAGCACATCAGGCATTATTCTCGATGGGGGACTACCCTGTTGCAGCTGATATTCTAGGGGAGATGTCAGATAGCAAACAGGGAATTAGGTGCTGCAGGGAAAAGTGTTTGTAAAGAACTCCCCCATGGACCAGGGATAGAAAGCCAGGGGCATGGGAATGGGTATGGAGGTGACAGTAGAGCTATGTCCTGAATAAGGAAAAGCATGACTCCTGCAGAGGAGTGAGTACAGAGCATAGGGAACGGGCTGTGTGAATTGAAGCTCAGCCCCAGTGTGTAGCATCCCAGCCTCACTAGAGTGTGTGGAGGACGAGACGTCAAGAGAGTCCACAGCAGACATGCCCCAGAAGGGGCAGTTGGCCTGAAGCAGCATCTTTGGGCTGACTGGCACCCTGGCCCATTATATCCTCCCTGTCTTCTCAGGTGTGGCCCACAGAGCTTTTGAAAATGATGTTGATGCCTTGTGTAATCTCCGGGAGTTCTTCAACTATCTGCCCCTCAGCAGTCAGGACCCGGCTCCCATCCGTGAGTGCCATGATCCCAGGTGGGTTGCAAGCCGGTGCACCTCCTCTCATTTTTAGGGTGGCTTGCCCTTCGCTGGCCCTCTACCCTGACAGGAACTCTAGGATCTGCTCTGTTGGGCAGCTTGGAGCAGATTGTGGAATGTAGTTGGCGTGGCTCCCAGGTGTGGGAATGATCATGGCATGTCTAGGTACGAAAGCAAAGAAAGATTTTATTCACTTTCTACCTCTATGTAATGTCTGATGGGTAGCCTGGGGTTAAAGAGTGGCAAAAAATAAACCAACCAAAAAACCCTAAATTTTTCTAAGAGACTCTTGAGTTGTCCAGAGTTGGAAATGGACCTTCTTTTGGTCTTGACATGAAATAAATAAGTGTGAAATGACACAGCATGTCCTTAAGGACATGTTTATCACACTGCTCATGGCCAGAGTCTGGGGCAGTCTTGGAGAATGGTGTGTTGCTGGCCACCTACCAGAGACCTTTTAGTCTTGCTGTTGGGGCCACTGCCTGATGGGGAGCT